ATGTGGGTTGGGAGTAAGTTAATTAAATATGATTTTGAAATGCTTAATTATTAAGTTTTATGATGATTATCTTTGCTATGGGAACACCTAAATATCGTTAATAGATTTTGAGATATTTCAGAACACTTAAAGTTTTCCTTAAGCAGTTACAATGATACACAGGAATTTTCTCTCTCCTCTAAATGCAGAAGCTAATCCCTAGTGCGGTCTCTCTCTAGATTTTAAATTCCAAATCTGTGGAATATAAATTGAGGTTTCAGAGCATGAGAACAAGGATTATGTGACTAGTAGTATAAACTGGGAACTCAGGTGGTTGTGGGTGGAGGTGGTAAAGCGACTGAAGCAAGGCTGAGATTTTTGTCTTACTTGTTTTTGTTTTTATTAAACAGCTTTGTTGAGTTAAAGTCTGTTTCTTTCCTGGGCCTCTGTGCATTAATTGGGAGGAAGTCATAATGTGAGTAACTCCAAAAAGTGAAAATCCAAAGTCAGATACTTTTTTTTTTAAGATTGTATTTATTTATTCATGAGAGACACACAGAAAGAGGCAGAGACACAGGCAGAGGGAGAAGCAGGCTCCATGCAGGGAGCCCAACATGGGACTCGATCCTGGGTCTCCCGGATCACGCCCTGGGCCCAAGGCGGCGCTAAACCACTGAGCCACCCGGGCTGCTCTGGTTTGTTTTTTTTTTTTAATTGAAGTGTAGTTGACATACAATATTAGTTTCAGGTGTAAAATGTAGTGATTCAACATTTGTATACTTTACAAAGTGATCCTCTTGATACTTCTAGCTACTGTACAAATTGGTTACATGTTATTAACTAGATTCCCTTTGCTGTACATTGTACCCCCCATTCTTTCTTATTTAATAACTAAGTTTGTACTTTTAATCCTCTTCCCTTATTTTGCCCATCCCGTCCCCCACAAGATAAAGTTTACTTTAAATACAGCACAGCTTGGGGCACCTGGGTGGCTCACTCGGTGCCCTTAAGCATCTGCCTTCAGCTCAGGTCATGATCCCCGGGTCCCGGGATCAATCCCCTTGTCAGGCTCCGTGCTCATCGGGAAGCCTGCCTCTTCCTCTCCTGCCTGCTCGTGCTATCTCTGTCACTCTCTGTCTGTCTGTCTCTCAGATAAATAATTTTTAAGAATAAATAAATAAATAAATACAGCTTATTGATATCTCTAGCTTTTTTGTAGGAAAAACATGCCGCATTCATTCCACAAATGCTTATTGTGTTCCTAGGATGTGGAAAGCGCTGTGTTGGTATCTTGAGTACACCTTGCCTTGAAGGAGCTCCTTCCTGTGCATATAGCAACTGATGCAAGGGGAAAACAGTCCAAAAAGTATGATGGGAATGGGAAACCCAGCAGCATAATACAACTTTGGAAAATAAATCAGGGGACACCTGGGTGGCTCAGCAGTTGAGCGTTCGCCTTTGGCTCAGGGCGTGATACTGGAGTCCTGGGATCGAGTCCCACATCAGGCTTCCCACAAGCCTCTCTCTCTCTCTCTGTGTGTGTCTCAGAAATAAATAAAATAAAATCTTTAAAAAAAAAAAGGAAAATAAATCAGAAAATGGAAGCTTTGTTACGTGGATAGTCGAGATAGTGGAGATAGTTGTTTTCCACAGAACTTTGAAAAGTTCGTGACACTTAAAACATTAAGGATATATTTGTTCTTAGATGCATAATGTCCTGATTTTAGGGTGGGCAAAGACAGACAATTATAAAGGCAGAACTGATCCTGTAATAGTGCTGTATGGTGACCGAGGGTAGCTAACACTTGCGAGCACAGCATAACACAGAGAAGTTGAATTACTGTGTTGTTACCTGAAACTAAGGTAACATTGTCAACTGTACTCAAGTTAAAAAATTAAATGAAAAGACATAACTACGCTGACCCAGAGCTACTTCTAAAACCAAAGAGGGGCACCTGGCTGGCTCAGTCAGTGGAGCATGCAACTCTTGATCTTGGGGTCATGATTCAAGCTCCACATTGACTGTAGAGCTTACTTTAAAAAAGTGAAAAAAGGGGATCCCTGGCTGTCTCAGCGGTTTAGCGCCTGCCTTTTGCCCAGGGTGTGATCCGGGATCGAGTCCTGAGTCGAGCTCCCTGCGTGGAGCCTGCTTCTCCCTCTGCCTGTGTCTCTACCTCTCTCTCTCTCTCCCTCTCTCTCTCTCTCTCTCTCTCTCTGTCTATCATGAATAAATAAAATCTTTTATAAAAATAAAAACCAGAAAATATCCATTTACAGTCCATTAAAATATTAATGGTAAGACTAAACGTTAAAGCAAAAAACTAGATGATTTTCTCTAATAGTTTATGTTACCTTTTTTAAAGATTTTATTTATTTTGAGAAAGGGAGAGAGCATGAGCAGAGGGAGGGGCAGAGGGAGAGGGAGAAGCAGGTTCTCCACTGAGCAGGGAGCCCAGTGTTGGTCTCCGGCCCAGGACTCTGGGATCATGACCTGAGCTGAAGGCAGACACTTAACCGACTGAGCCACCCAGGCACCCCTTGATTTCACTGATTTCTGCTCTTATTATTGTCTTTCTTCGCTTTATAAGCATAAATTTTTATTTTATTTATGATAGTCACACAGAGAAGGAGAGAGAGAGGCAGAGACATAGGCAGAGAGAGAAGCAGGCTCCATGCACTGGGAGCCTGATGTGGGATTTGATCCCGGGTCTTCAGGATCGTACCCTGGACCAAAGGCAGGCGCTAAACCGCTGCGCCACCCAGGGATCCCTGCTTTAAGCATAAATTACCCTTCTTTCTCTATTTTCCTAAGAGGGAAGCTTTGATCATTGATGTTAGGTCTTTCTTCTTTTCTAGAATACACATTTAATGTTATAACTGTCCTGCTAAGCACGGATTTTACAACATTCCACAAATTTTGATAGGTTGTATTTTCATTTTTATTTAGTTCACAATGTTTAATTTTTTTCCTGCAGCCTCTTTTTTGACCAGTATGTTTCTTAAAGTGTCTTGTGTAATCTCCAGATATTTGGGGTTTTCAAGGTATCTATTGATTTCTAGTCTAAATTAATGTGATCTGGGGCACCTGAGTGGCTCAGTTGGTTAAGCATCTGCCTTCAGCTTAGGTCATAATCCTGCCCTGGGATCAAGTTCCATATCAGGCTCCCTGCTCAGTGGGGAATCTGCTTCTCCCTCCTCTTCAGCCCCCCCCCCACCGCGCGCGCGCGCGCGCGCGCGCGCGCGCACACACACACACACACACACACACACACACCCGCTCATATTCGCTTGCTCTGTCTCATGTTCTCTCTCTCAAATAAATAAGTAAATTCATATGATGAATTCATTCATTCAAAGTATGAATATTACTTTGTATATATCTCTTTTTTTAAAAAATCTTTCAAGTATGTTTTATGGCCCAGAATATGGTTTATCCTGGTGGTGAATGTTCCACGTGAGCTTGAGAAGAATGTGTGTTCTGCTGTTGTTGGATAAAATATTCTATGAATGGGGCAGCCCCGGTGGCGCAGCGGTTTAGTGCTGCCTGCAGCCCAGGGCGTGATCCTGGAGACCCGGGATCGAGTCCCACGTCAGGCTCTCTGTATGATGCCTGCTTCTCCCTCTGCCTGTGTCTCTGCCATTCTCTCTCTCTCTGTCTCTATGAATAAATAAATAAAATCTTAAGAAAAAATACGCTATGAATGTCAAGCAGATCAAGTTGATTGATGGCGCTGTTAAGGTCAACTGCATCCTTGCTGATTTTCTGCCTTCTGGATCTATTCATTCCTAAAAGAAGAGTGTTGGAGCTCTAGCCGCAGTAGTGGGTTTGTCTATTTCTCCTTGCATTTATATTAGTTTTTGCCTCGTATATTTTGTTTTGTTTTGTTTTTTATTTGTGGAATACACAGAATGAGAGGCAGAGACCTAGGCATATGGAGAAGCAGGCTCCCTGTGGGACTCAGTCCCAGGACCTAGGATCACGACCTGAGCCAAAGGCAGATGCTCAACCACTGGGCCACCCAGGTGTCCCTTTGCTTCACATATTTTGATGCACTATTGTGAGCTGCGTAATTGTTTAAGACTATTATGTCTTCTTGAAGAATTGACCCCTTTATCTTTGCATAATGCCCCACTTTATCTCTGCTCATTTCCCTTCTTCTGAAATCTGAAATTAATACAGCTACTCCAGGTTTCTTTTTCTAAGTGTTTGCAGGATATATCTTCCTCCATCACTTTACTTTTAGCTTATATTTTTATATTTATACTGGACTTCTTTTAGACAACATACAGTTGAGTCTTGGATTTTTTTATCCACTCTGACACTTTTCTTTTCGTTTTTAAAGATTTTATTTATTCATTCATGAGAGACACAGAGACACAGGCAGAGGGAGAAGCAGGCCCCACGCAGGGAGCCTCATGTGGGACTTGATCCCGGAACTCCAGGATCATGCCCTGAGCCAAAGGCAGACGCTTAACAGCTGAGCCACCCAGGTGTCCCTCACTCTGACACTTCTCTGATGATATCATTCACACTTAATTTGATTTTGTTTTTTAAAGATTTATTTATTTATTCATGAGAGACACAGACTGAGAGAGAGAAGCAGAGACACTGGCAAAGGCAGAAGCAGGCTCCCTGCAGGGAGCCCGATGCGGGACTTGATCCCAGATCCCGGGATCACGACCTAAGCTGAAGGCAGATGCTCAACCACTGAGCCACCCAGGCGTCCCCTTAATTTGACTGTTAAATGGTAGGGTTAATATCTATTTGTTTTCTGTTTGTTGCACTAGTTCTTTGTACCTTTTTTTCCTCTCCTCTTTTTCTTCCCCGGTTTAATTTTATTTTTAAAGAGTTATTTATTTTACATTTTATTTTTAAAGAGAGAAAAAGGGAGAGGGAGAGAGAGTCCTCCATTGGATGCTTAACCAACTGCACCACCGAGGCACCCCATGCCTCCTGTGGTTTTATTTTATTTTTTATTTTTTTATTTTTTTATTTATTTATTTATTCATTCATTCATTCATTTATTTTTTAAAGCTTCACGAATTTGCATGTCATCCTTGAGCAGGGGCCATGCTAATCTTCTCTGTATCATTCTAATTTTTTAGTATATGTGCTGCCGAAGCGAGCACCCTCCTGTGGTTTTAAATGAGCATTGTATAGGATTCCATTTTCTCACCTCTAAGTGTATCAATGTTCTACTTTTCAAAAACTGTTAGTGACTATCCTAAAATTTATAATATACATTTATAACTAACACAATCTACTCCCAACACTCTATTGATTCATGGATAATACAGGTTCTTTGTGGGTAGTGCAGGTACCATATACTAGAGTACTCCCAGTTTCTTTGTGCTATTCCTTATAACATTGCTTTTATTCATTTCACTTTTCCATATGCTATAATCACCCAATTCACTATTACCATTATTATTTTAAACAAAGAGTTACTTATTTGCTTGATTCAGAATAAGAAATATAAGGGTGCCTGGCTGGCTCTATCAGTAAAACATGCAACCCTTGATCTCAGAGTTGTGAGTTTGAGCCCCACATTAGGGCTTTTTTTCTTAAAAATAAGAAATCTTAAAAAAAAAAAAAAAAAGAAGATAAAGGGACACCTGGGTGGCTCAGTTGGTTAGTATCTGACTCTTGATTTCAGTTCAGGTCATGATCTCAGCATCATGAGATAGAGCCCCGTGTTAGGCTCAGTGGGGAGTCTGCTTAGGACGCTCTCCCTCTCCCCCTACTCCCACTCGCATGAACACTCTCTCTAAAAAAATAAAAATTTAATTTTTAAAAAGTAATAACTTGGGATCCCTGGGTGGCGCAGCGGTTTGGCGCCTGCCTTTGGCCCAGGGCGCGATCCTGGAGACCCGGGATCGAATCCCACATCGGGCTCCCAGTGCAAGGAGCCTGCTTCTCCCTCTGCCTGTGTCTCTGCCTCTCTCTTTCTCCCTCTCTCTGTGTGACTATCATAAATAAATAAATTAAAAAAAATTAAAAAAAAAAGTAATAACTTGGGACTCCTGGGCTGCTCAGCTATTGAGCGTTTGCCTGTGGTTCAGGGTGTGACCCTGGGGTCCCAGGATTGAGTCTGACATCAGGCTTCTTGCATGGAGTCTGCTTCTCCCTCTGCCTGTATCTCTGTCTCTCTCTGTGTGTCTTTCATGAGTAAATAAATAAAATCTTAAAAGAAAAAAAAAGAATTTCATTTTTATTTAAATAAATTTAATAAATAAATAAATACTTAAAAAGAGTAAAAAATGTACAAGGCCATTTACATTAATTTGTTCCATTTATGATGCTCTTTTTGTACATCCAACTTCTTGACCTGTATAATTTTTCCTCTTCCTGTGTAACTTCGTTTAACATTTCTTGAAAGTCAAGCGTTCTGGTGAGAAATTCCCTCAGTTTTTGTTTGTCTGAGAAAGTCTTTATTTCTCCTTCACTTTTGCAGAATGATTTTACTGGGTATATAGAATTCTAAGTTAGTGGGTTTTTCTTTCAATGCTTTTTTTTCTTCAAGATTTTATTTATTTGAAAGAGAGCAGTAGAGAGAGCAAGCGTGGGGGGGCGGCAGAAGGAGAGGTAGAGAAGCAGACTCCTCACTCAACAGGGAACCCAACATGGGGCTCAACTCCTGAGATCATGATCTGAACTAAAGGCAGATGTCTAACCGACTGAGCCACCCAGACGCCCCTTCTTTCAACACTTTAAATATTTCACTCCAGGGATCCCTGGGTGGCACAGCGGTTTGGCGCCTGCCTTTGGCCCAGGGTGCGATCCTGGAGACTCGGGATCGAATCCCACGTCGGGCTCCCGGTGCATGGAGCTTGCTTCTCCCTCTGCCTGTGTCTCTGCCTCTCTCTCTCTCTCTCTCTCTCTCTCTCTCTGTGTGTGTGTGTGTGTGTGTGACTATCATAAATAAATAAAAAGAAAATTAAAAATAAATAAATAAATATTTCACTCCACTCTCTTCTTGCTCTCATGGATTCTGATGAGAAGGCCAAGTAATTCCTATCCTTATTCCTCTATAGGTAAGGCATTTCCCCCCCTGGATTCTTTGATGATTTCCTCTTGGTCTTTAGTTTCCTGCAGTTTGAATATGATAAGCTTAGTTGTAGTTTTTAGTATTTATCCTGCTTGGTATTCTCTGAAGCTCCTGGATCTGTCATTTGGTGTCATTAATTTTGGAAAATTCTTGGCTGTTATTACTTCAAATTATTTCTTTTGCTCTATTTTCACTTCCTTCTGCTACTCCAATTACATAGATACTGCACCTTTTGAAATTGTCCCACAATTTTCAGATATTCTATTCTGGGTTTTTGTTTGGTTTTCTTTTTGCCCTTTCATTATTTTTTCTCTGCATTTCAGTTTGGGAAGGGTTTTCTTTTTTTAAGATTTTATTTATCTATTCATGAGAGACAGAGAGAGAGAGAGACAGAGGCAGAGATCCAGGCAGAGGGAGAAGCAGGCTCCATGCAGGGAGCTCGACATGGGACTCGATCCTGGGTCTCCAGGATCACACCCTGGGCTGAAGGCAGCGCTAAACTGCTGAGCCACCCAGGCTGCCTGTTTTTTGTTGTTGCTGTTGTTTTAAGATTTTATTTATTTACTCATGAGAGACAGACACAGAGAGAGGCAGAGACAGGCAGAGGGAGAAGCAGGCTCTACGCAGGGAGCCCGATGTGGGACTCGATCCCGGGACCCCAGGATCACACCCTGGGCCGAAGGCAGACACCCAACCGCTATGCCACCCAAGTGTCCCTCATTCTTTGAAACTCAAAAATCTGTACTATGTTTGAATCTGGTTCTGATGCTTGGTTTGCCTCTTCAGACTCTGGGGGTTTTTTTGCCTTGAAACTTAATATGACTTACAAATTTTTGTTGAGGGCCAGACTTCATGTATCGGGTAATAGGAGAGAAGTATGTGTTCAGTGTGTGGGTTGGTGTTGATCTGGCTAGCAGCTGGACTACTTTCCTGTTTGCTGGAGCTCTAGGTGTCAGAGGCTTTCCCTGCCTCTCATGTCCTTGTTTTTGTCTCCCCTGTTGTCCTTGAGATTCCCTGAAAACTCCTTAAATAGAATCTGCACCTTTGCAGCTCTTTCGACTGTAATCCACTGTTGCTATTCTGTAGCCCTGTTGACATGGTAAAGGAGAGAGATTTTCTGTAATCCTATACTAAACCTCAGTCTTTTAGATCTGTGTCCCTAGGCTATGACTTTCACAAGTGTCTCTGTATTTTCCCCCTTAGATGTGACAGGAAGGCTAAAGGGGCCTAGCTTTGGGTAATTTGTCCCCCCGCCCCCCAGAGTCAGATAAATATAAATAATAGGAGAACTCTCCTGCATAATTCAAAATGATTACTTTTCCCCTCCCCCTGCTGGAAACACAAGTGTTACTTCTTGGTTCTTCATAATGAGAACCCAGTGGGGTTTCTAGAAGCAAAATCTACTAGAATGTGGAGGCCTGGCTCAGAGCACAGCCTCAAGAGTTTCCTGCCCAGCTGTAGCCCACACCCAGCCCTTAGCAATGGGTCAGATACAGTGTTGGTCTTCCTCCCAGGTTATGGCTCTGGTGGCTTCTGTCCCAGGTAAACTGATCTCATCTGTGATTCTGTGTGCTCGTCTCCAGATTCTGAGCTCAGTTTGTGCTGCAGCCTGAATTCTCTAGTAGCTCCAAGAAAACCCATTCAAGTCCTTGATTTTCAGTTTGTTCAGGTTTTTTTTTTCTTATAAGGACATGAGTGACAACTTCCAGACTCTTTATATACTGGAACTGAAACTGGGGCACCTGGGTGGCTCAGTGGTTGAGCGTCTGCCTTTGGCTTAGGTTGTGATCCTGGGGTCCTGCTTCTCCCTCTGCCTGTGTCTCTGTCTCTCTGTCTCTCATGAATAAATTTAAAAAAAATTTTTTTTTTTTTAGATTTTGTTTATTCATGAGAGACACACAGAGAGAGGCAGAGACACAGGCAGAGGGAGAAGCAGGCTCCCTGAAGGGAGCCCAATGCGGGACTTGGGCTCCCGGGATCACTCCCTGGGCTGAAGGCAGACACTTAACCGCTGAGCCACCCAGGTGTCCCCGATTTTTAAAATCTTAAACACACACACACACAAAAACTGAAACTGGAAGTTCCCCAGTATGTATTTTTTCATTAATCATAATTATATTAAATATTTTCTATTTATAATAACATTGGTTTAATTATATTAAAACATGTACATAATTATAAACAGTCCCTGTTGGGGCACCTGAATGGCTCAGTGGGTTTCACCTCTGACTCTTGATTTTGGCTCAGGTGGTGAGATCAAGCCCTGTGCTGGGCTATGTGCTCAGCATGGAGTCGGCTTGTGCCTCCCCACCCCCTCAAATAAATAAAAATAAAAAATAGTCCCTCTTAGAAGAAATGTCATGATTCTAGTGCTTCTCAATCACCATTGTATTACTCCCAAACCTCTTAACATGACTTGTTAATAGTTTGCTGTTATTTCTGTGTATATATCCATATCTCTATGCACACAAAGATATGCATAGACACACACACACACACACATATATATACACACACACACACTTTTAATCTGGATATAATGTGTGTATACTACACTGCAACTTTTTTCCATGCAATGCTCTGTACTTTTTTCTTTAAAAGCTAAATTTATTTCAAATAAGGTTTATATTCAACAGACAAAACTATATTTTTTTGAAATTTCATCTATTGGGATCCCTGGGTGGCGCAGCGGTTTAGCGCCTGCCTTTGGCCCAGGGCGCAATCCTGGAGACCCGGGATCGAATCCCACGTCGGGCGCCCGGTGCATGGAGCCCGCTTCTCCCTCTGTCTCTGTCTGTGTCTGTGCCTCTCTCTCTCTCTCTCTCACTGTATGCCTATCATAAATTAAAAAAAAAAAGAAATTTCATCTATTATTCATAATCACTGATTTTATCCAATAAAAATGTATTAAGGGGCACCTGGCTTGCTCAGTCAGAGGAGCTCATGACTCTTGATATCAGGGTTGTAAGGTTCTAGCCTCATGTGGGGTGTAGAGATTACTTAAATAAAACTTTTTTAAAAAATGCATTAATTTGGGCAGCCCAGGTGGCTCAGTGGGTAACACTGCCTTGGGCCCAGGGC